CAGGCACTCCAAGGAATTGATTTTTTTTTTTTAAGATTTTATTTATTTGACAGAGAGAGAGAGAGCACAAGTAGGCAGGCAGGCAGAGAGAGAGGGAAGCAGGCTCCCCGCTGAGCAGAGAGCCCGACTTGGGGCTCCATCCCAGGACCCTGAGATCACGACCCGAGCCAAAGGGAGAGGCTCAGCCCTCTGAGCCACCCAGGTGCCCCGAGGAATTGATTTTTAAAAGAAGTTGGGTGCTTTGTAAATAAAGGCAAACAGGGGTAAAGGAGACTACGTGTTATGTAAATTATTCCTCAAAACCAGCCCAGCCTGCTGAGTGTTATTATCCTGTTTTACCGACCAGAAAAGCAAGGTTTGGAGAATTATGTAATTTTCCCATGCTCTGTTTCATGGGAGAACCAGAACCAGAATGAATGCATTTTACCCTTTACCCCTTCCATCTACTAACAAGTATTTATTGAAGACCTACTGTGTACTTACTCTGGACACTGGGAACCAAATAATTATTTGAACCTGTGTCTTCTGATTCTGGCAGCCGTTCTTTGTCCCCCAGAGTCTAGTGAAAGAGCTCATTCCCATCAGAGCTGGAGAGAAGTTGGATTACTCTATGATGATGGTAATGAGATGCCCACAGTGTGGAGGGTACGGGAACGTCAAAAACCGTGCATAGTAGACTGAAGGCTAGGTTTATGGGCTGAGCAGGGAGGACCCAAACCATTTTGACTGCTACTTTAAAAATTGAAAATAACGAATGACCACAAAAAATAATAAACAACAAAATTTTATGGTTACATGTTCTGATTATCAAACAGGGGGAAAAAGTATAAAAAGGCAAAAATCATTTTGATGTTACAAGCTGGAGATAATGACTATAATTATCTCAAAGTATGTTTCTCCCCGTCCATTTTTCTCCCAGCTTTGGCAGCTTAAAATTTTTTTCTCTGATTTTGGCTTTTAGCAGTTTTGGGTAATAGGTCTCTGTGCAGTTTTCTTCACATTTCCCTGTCTTGGGATCTGTAGGTGGATGTCTTTTATCAGTTGGAGGGACTTTTTCTGCTGGTTTTACTCCATTCCTTTTTCCTGGAATGTCAGGTACATGCTTTTATTAACCTTCTCACTGTTTCCTTACATATTCCTGTACATTTTCCACTTTTTAAACTCTTGGGCTTCATTCTGAATTCTTTCTTGTAAGTTATGTTTCCGTCTATTAATATGCATGAGCTGTATGTGATTTGCCGTTCTACTTACCCACTGAGCTTTACATTTCTGCCATTGTCACGTTGCAATTCTAGATTGCTCCTTTGGTTAGTTTCTAAGGTTTCCAGTGTTCTACTGAAGTTCTCAGTTTTCTGTTTTATTTCCTTGAGCATGCTCAGCATATTTATTTTCAAGTAGTGTCTGACAACGATAGCATCTGAATCCTTCCTAAATCTCTTTCTCTTGCCTGTGTTTCTCTTAAATTTTAGCCACATAGTTTTTTATTTTTTTTTTAAGATTTTGTTTCTAAGTAATCTCTACACTTAATGTGGGGCTAGAATTTAGAATCCCGAGCTCAGAATCCCATGCCCTTGTGACTGAGCCGGCCAGGTGCCCCAGCTGCATAGCCTTACCTTCCATTGGACCCCAACTCAGAAGCATCATTCGGCACTAGGAAGCAATAACTCAAAATCAAATAACAGTTCTCCATTCTAAGATCTCATTAAGTTTAAGGTGCACTGTTGGTTTAATCATAGCTTCTCTGAGAGTTGGAAGTAAAGACGTGCTGCATGAAATGTACACACGTAACCTCATTTCAGACATGTCTCATTATAAAAGAGTAGGCATCTAAGAATTCTAGAAACAGGGCAGAATTCCCCAGCCTTGGGAAGACTTGTTTATACATCCTGACTCAGTTTCTCTTTAAGTTTCTTTTTAAGGCCTCATCAGGGAGAAAGACAGATAACCTGAATTGTCCTAAGGCTTTGTTACCTCCAAAGTCTTGTAAACTCTCCAGCGTTCCTGATGGTTAAACCCATATTAAACACAGTTAGCAATAGGATCCTCAAGAATTCTGCACTTAGGAAACATAGGGCAGGAGCCTGGAGGACCATAGAGTCCTTACTTCCAAAAGAAGGAAAGCCCATTTCTCAGGCTCACAGTAGAAGGGATTGCTTACCTTCTGCTGAGGCCAGCGTGGCTGGAGTGTAGTTTATTCTCTTTCAGTATTTCAGGACTGGCCTTGAGTATCACCAGAATTTTTCTTAGCCATGAGCTCTGGCAAATAAAACTCAAAATGGAGGAGGAACTCGGCTTGCATTGCACAGAGCATAGCTCTTTGTGAGGTTAACTGACCACAGAGTCTAGCCCTGCCTGGGCCAGGCAGCAGGCAGGGGCTGTGGCCAAGGGAAGCCTGCAGCCCCTGGGCCAGCAGACGGCCACTTCTCAATGGCAGCTGATTATTGCCATGTGGCCATACAGACCCAGGGTTGCCAGATCTGAATTTTTTCAGAAGCCAGTAATACAGATTTTTATGTGCAATCTCCTGGTTTTGATGTTGGCAGTGAATTCCATTTTCTAAAACTTGCAGGTATGACACACCATGTTTCTGAGATGGTTGCAGCTGTGGGCTCCTGCTGCTTGTTTCTGGGCTACGTGTTCAGTATTCAGTGAGCCTCTGCCTAAGAAGGTAGTCCAGGGGCACCTGGGTGGCTCTGTCGGTTAAGCAACTGATTCTTGGCTTTGCCACAGGCTGTGATCTCAGGGTCATGAGATTGAGCCCGATGTGTAGGGCTCCATGCTTAGCATGGAGTCTGCTTGAGATTCTCTCTATCCCTCTCCCTCTGCTCTTCCCACTCATGTGCTTGTTCTCTCTCTCTCTCTAAAATAAATAAATAAAACCTGTTTTCAAAAAAGAAGGTAGTCCCATCACTGAAGCAATATGGAATGCTTTCTCCATTCTCTGCCTCTTCCCCGCCCCCACATCATAGAGACTTTTCTGGAGTACTGGGCTTTCTCTGTACACTTGAAATTTCAAAAAGTACATTGCCCTCCCTAGGCCATGTTGGTATTTTGGAAGACTCCCTCAGTGAAGTCCATTTTTTACAATTAAAATGGGGTTCTGGAGTTTTCCCCCACCATGGAAACTGCTCATATTAAGTAGCCCCAAAGCACACAGGATATCATTGAAATCCTTGGCCACATGGTCTGTGGACAATCACAGAGTAGACAAACCAGTAATTTGGTTAATATCAACAACCTTGCCAAGTTGCCCATGGGGAAATTTACTAATTTTTAGTTCTCAAATATTTTAGAAATGTTATATGGATGGAGATTCTTTTCTTGCCTGGAGGCAAGCACACACGTTGCTTAAAAGGTAACAGGGCAGTTATGGGAAGAAAAGCATGTCAGAAGCACGATCACATTGCTTGGGGACTGTTTCACAGGGATGAGACTGTATCTTAGAAGAAATGATTAAAAAGAGACCAGGGAGCCTGACAGCAATTGGTACCCAAACGCAGTAATTAATGACTGAATTCCTCCGGGGTCCTACTCTGTGTCCTTAGGGCGTAATAGTCACCATTGTGCCATAATCCATTTGAGAAAAATATGTTATCCGATGGAATCTTTTTTATAAAGATTTTATTTATTTATTTGACAGAGAGAGATCACAAGTAGGTAGAGAGGCAAGCAGAGGGGCGGGGGGAAGCAGGCTCCCTACTGAGCAGAGAGCTGGATGTGGGGCTCGATCCCAGGACCCTGGGATCTTGACCTGAGCTGAAGGCAGAGGCTTAACCCACTGAGCCACCCAGGTGCCCTATGTGAGGGAATCTTTCCAGGATTTGTCTAGTATCCTGTTCAGTGCTCAGAATAGCAGGTGTTGCCTCTTCTACTTTGTGTGACTGTCCAACCTGAGTTAGAGAATAGAAATGCCTTTGGGGGACACCTGGGTGGCTCAGTTGGTTAAGCGCCCGAATCTTGATTTCAGCTCAGGTCATGATCTCAGGGTCATGGGATCGAGCCCTGGATCAGGCTCCATGCTCAGCATGGCGTCTGCTTGAACTTCTCCCTCTCCTGCCCATCCCTGCACTCTCATGTCTCTCTCTCAAATAAATCTTTTTTTCTTTTAAAAAATAAATGTCTTTGTAATGAATATTGTTAAACATTTAGAGGGAAAGTGTGTGTACTTGGAGATCAGGGGAACTTCTTGGTATCTCTGAATTTCTATCATCTGGTTTTTTTTTTTTTTTTCTTTTAAGATTTTACTTATTATTTGACAGAGAGACACAGCAAGAGAGGGAACACAAGCAGGGGAGTGGCAGAGGGAGGGGGAGAATCAGGCTTCCTGTAGAGCAGGGATCCTGATGCAGGGCCTGATCCCAGGACCTGGGATCATGACCTGAGCCGAAGGCAGATGCCTAACGACTGAGCCACACGGGCGCCCCTCTATCATCTGGTATTTTTGAACTATACATTTCAGCACACTTGTGTCTCTGAAGATGAAACATAAAATCTAAATTCATTTCGTCTATGCAGCCTTGTCTCTAGTAAATTCTGCTTTCTGGGTACAACACAAATAGGAAACTGACGACTCTAGTTTAATTGCCCCAGCTTTAGGGAATGAAGGAGATAATACAATGACACTGGAAAACGATCATCCCTGTGTACTGATTGTAAAATCTAGGTGCAATGTTTCTGCTGTCCAGGCCTGCCCAGCTCCCACAGCTCCAGAAAGAAATGAACAAGACCACAGGAGAGTTAGTTGTGTCGAATTTATTTATATGGGGAATGAAATACTTCTTGATTTAAGAATAGATCGTTAAAACAAGGGGACGACATGTCTAACACATACATTTTCTGTTACGAGTTTTTTCTTGCTGATTCCTCTGGGCACCTTGGCTGCCAGGCTCCACATCGCTGCATTTTTAATTCAGTGAAACATGAAAAGATCCGGTTCTAAAATGGAATGCTTCACACTTTTAATAGTTCTTTATTTCTCTCCCTTTTATTTTCTCTTTTAGTCCTTGAAGAAAGTAACTGCTCAGACCCCGGGGGTCCAGTTAATGGGTACAAGAAGGTAACAGGAGGCCCTGGACTTATCAACGGGCGCTATGCCAAAGTTGGCACAGTCGTGTCCTTCTTTTGTAATAACTCGTACGTTCTTAGTGGCAATGAGAAGAGAACTTGCCAGCAGAATGGAGAGTGGTCGGGGAAACAGCCCATCTGCATAAAAGGTAACGAACGAGTATTTGTGACATAGATGGAGTTGTTGGACCTCTTGGAAGCTCCCTACATGTGTGTGAGCCCCTGAAAAAAATGCCATTCCCTCTTAGGTTCTCACTGGAACCATCTATGACTCCAAGTGGAAAGCCATCCCTGAAAACATATGCTTCTCTTTTGGACCTCCAGAAGACCTGCTTCTCCTAATCACAGCTTCTCGCTGTGATCAAGAAGAGTTAGAAAATTATCAGAGCAGTTTAGAAAAGATGACAGGGCTGGGTTTTATCTACGTAAACCCAAGGTCAAAATCGAGGCCATCAGTGGGGTCCAATATAGCTACATTTATCCACTCTCTATGAAATAGGAAGTTGGCGCAGGAAATAAAAGAACAAAACAGGCACACTATCCCTGCCAGCCTGCGTGGTGGGAGGTTTAAGATGTTAACATAAAGAAAAACATCTTACTAAGATGGCAAGACCTCCAGCATTCAAGGCAGAGTTAGAGGAAATGAATGAGCAGTGTGTGTTGAGAGAAAGAGATGATCACTATTGCTTGAAATAGGGACAGTTGTATGCGGCCTGTGGGGGCCAAGCCAATCTGGGAGGTGGGGAAGCATTCACAAGAGGTGCAGAGCAGCTGGGACTATGTTCCTGTCACAGAAGACAAAGGAAAATAAAAGGTATAGGCAGAAGTGAAAGGATCATGGTAAACTCAAAGTAGGGCCAACAGGGATTCCGGGAAGTAGATTGAAAAGGTTGGTTTGGGACCAGAAAACATGGAACGTTGTATAGAGAACCTTCAAACTTACCCCTTGGCGGTGGGGATGCATAGTTTCTTACTGAACCAGGTCAACAGCCCCTGTATTTTGGGGGCAGGTCACAAGTATCTGGCTGTTTCCTAGGAAGAAAAGCATGTCCTTGGCCTAGATTATCCAGATAATTGCCTTAATCCTCCACTTTCCCTTCTGGGTGTTTGTCAACAACCCAAGTCATGGGAAAAGAAAAGAAAGAGGAAGGTTTGTGAAAGGAATAAATCACTTTAGACTTTAGCCAGAAGCGACCTTCCTCCTCACCAACACAGACTCCGATTCTTGATTTCATTAAGTATGGAAACGGTGTTTCATATGTCCTTGGAGATTTTTGTCAACTCTTCTCTTACAAATTAATAACAACCAAAGTTCTCTAGTTTGCTAATTAGACGAATGTTGGCCGCTTGATTGGGAAAGTGAAGAAAGAGACACTTCAGCAAAATTAAGCCTGGGCTTTGAGGTGCCCTCAAATGATCATTAGGAGCCTCGATTTCAGAGGAAGGAACTAGAGGAATCAGCTACCCAAGACTACCCAAGATGACGCTGCCATCTGGTCTTAAATGAGAGCCTTGTAGTTCCCTGTGTTGGGCTCTATTTTAGAACCTTCATTTTTTACTGTGACTCCACCTTCCATCCCTTCCATCAAGTTCACCAATGCCATTTGTGGGAACAGATAGTCCCACAGCCAAGGTTTCACCTCACCCGGGTGGAGTGGCTTTTCAGAAGTGCGTCCCCCATGGGCATTGTTCAGAGGGGGGTGTCAGTTTTGACAAAAGGCAGTGAGCTCTTTCGCTAGGGAGCTTTCCACACCCGCTGGCATACCTCCCCTCTGAGACCTCTGGTGGTGTCCAGAAAGGGCGGTCAGGGATGAATCTGAACCAAATGAACGTGAGCAGTTAATATGGCAAAAGCTGATGCCCTCTTGTCTCCTTCATTCTAGCCTGCCGAGAACCAAAGATCTCAGACCTGGTGAGACGCAGAGTTCTTCCCATGCAGGTTCAATCAAGGTGAGGTCAAAACACCTGAGCTCTGGCTCCAGGGCGAACGCCTTGAGTGTGTCCCCTCCCGCCCCCTTTCCCCCACTTGTGTTTGGCCAAAGACAGTCTGAGGTTTCTTAGGGACACTCAGCGCTGACTGCTCATGAAAGAATAGGGTTGTTAGAGGGAGGCTGATGAGCCAGCTGCCTTTGGCCAAGAGGTAGCAACTGCTGGAACCTGGACACGGTTCACAGGATCGTGGGAAAGTAGGTGGCTGGTGGGACTCGAGACCTGAAGATGATCCTTGAGGAACTGGGTTTTAACACTTGAGTCTTCCTGAAATTGCTCTGTGTTTACTAGGGCAGCTTCTAGGGAGATGGCCTTCCTGCCCTGTGCAACCAGCTCTGGCTCAGGAAGATGTTGGTGGTAATCAACCAGATGAGGCAGGTCGCTGGCCCCCAGGAACTAGAGACAAATGACCACCCCTGATGAGGGAGGAGAGCCCTCAGATATGCCTGCCCAGACTTCCTCCTGGGAAGACAGAGGTGGGGACCACTGGGGGGGCAGAGAATCGGCCCAGTTCTATGTCTTCTCTCCTCATTTTGTGGAAGAAACTATTTTCACCTCATCTCCTACTATTCTCTTCCTCACCCTCTACTCTGGCCCTGCAGGCGGCCCAACTTGTCCCCTCCCCTTCCCCCCACAGCACTGCTTCAGAGCCTTGGCCCTTCTGTCCAGACCCCACTTCCGCTGGTTTTAAAGTTTTCCGCTGGTTTCCGCTGGTTTCCGAGGTTTAAAGCCTTGCTCTGTCTGCTCCCTGCTCGGTGTCTACCTGGCAGAGAGACCTTTTCTGACCGTCCTTTGGAAAACAAGAACCACCCCCAAATGTTGTAGTACCGGTTAATGTTTTCTCCTTTTACACTTCATATAAAAAACAAAGCCATCATCAACCTCAGAGAATCAATCAATAAAAAGAAGGACAGTAATCCCACCCGGATGCTGACTGCAGAGCTGTCTTCTGGGCTCTCGTATTTGGTGAGCCTTAGGTCTCAGATTCGCTCTCAGCCCTACCTGTCGTCTTACCTATGGGTTTTTGTTGTTGTTCAATTTCTATCTCCACCTAACCCCACCAAAATAAGTGTGTAAAAGTTATAAGTGCAGGAACGTTTTCTGTTTTGTTCATGTTCAAGTTCTGGGGCCAAGAGCAATGCTTGCTGCAGAGGAGTCACCCCCCCCAAAAAACACAACCACCCCAAACAGTGAATGAATGAATGAATGAATGAATGGGTTTGACAAATAATGGCTCGAGACCAGGTTTGGGCTCTCTTAAGCACTGTATTTAGTATTCTTTGGCAAGTTCCTGATCTTGCTAAGCCTTTAGTCTCCTCTTTTGAAAACTAAGGGCAATCCCGATAACGCCCATCTCTGGGGATTGCTGTAGGGATTAGATGCGGCAGGCGGAGCGAGCTAGCGCTTACTGCGTGTTTGCTACATGCCCGTTCCTCCTCTTAGTGCTTTGCAACTGTTTGCTCGTTTAATCTTTCCTGCAACCTCTGAGGTAGGGTTTCTTACCAATTTTAGTACAGATGGATAAAGTGAGGCTTGGAGAAACTCATTAACTCGCCCAGATCACATTGCGGACTGTAGATCCAGGATGCGAATCCGGGATCTTCATAGTGTTCAGGGTCTTAGGCACTAAGCTACTTCCCAGCCCGATGGAAAGGCTTCAGCAGAACACTCTCACAAGTGAACAGCTGTGAGTAGCAGCTTTTGCTTTCAGGAATGGTCACAATGAATCCCAGTGATTAGAACCGACCCCAGCCAAGTGACCTGAAATACTCCTAAAGCAGGATATTCATCAATCCCTTACCTTCCCCTTGGATATTTCCTTCTATCTCTGTCTTTCCCATTTCAGGCAGGGCATTTCCTTGGGAACAGTGACAGTGGAATACAAATTCCGTCTTTTCCTGATCTTTATAATTTGCTTGGAGGTGGACTCCTCAGTAAGTGGGATGAACTGTTCTTTCCAACAACACATCTTGTAGAGGAGCCCCTGAATACTAAAAGACCACTGCACTTTGCATTTTTTTTTAAATTTTTAAAATTTATTTTCAGCGTAACAGTATTGTTTTTGCACCACACCCAGTGCTCCATGCAGTCCGTGCCCTCTCTAGTACCTACCACCTGGTTCCCCCAACCTCCCACCCCCCGCCCCTTCAAACCCCTCAGATTGTTTTTCAGAGTCCATAGTCTCCCATGGTTCACCTCCCCTTCCAATTTCCCTCAACTCCCTTCTCCTCTCTAACTCCCCTTGTCCTCCATGCTATTTGTTATGCTCCACAAATAAGTGAAACCGTATGATAATTGACTCTCTCTGCTTGACTTATTTCACTCAGCATAATCTCTTCCAGTCCCGTCCATGTTGCTACAAAAGTTGGGTATTCATCCTTTCTGATGGAGGCATAATACTCCATAGTGTATATGGACCACATCTTCCTTATCCATTCGTCTATTGAAGGGCATCTTGGTTCTTTCCACAGTTTGGCGACCGTGGCCATTGCTGCTATAAACATTGGGGTACAGATGGCCCTTCTTTTCACTACATCTGTATCTTTGGGGTAAATACCCAGTAGTGCAATTGCAGGGTCATAGGGAAGCTCTATTTTTAATTTCTTGAGGACTCTCCACACTGTTCTCCAAAGTGGCATTTTTAAAGCAATTGTAATGGGAGGCTAGGTGACAAGGAGCCAGGTGGCTCATGTGGATGAAAAAGCAAGCCTATAACTTGGTTTTAAGGATCTTTCTGGAAGACAGGCTGCTGGAATGCAGATATACCTATCTCCAGCAGCCTGGTCACCCAAGGACCACAAAAGGCAGTGTAGTCTTTCAACAGATGGACCAAAAGATGAGCTAGCTGGTTTGCCAGTTCAGAAGCTCCTTGAACCGCAGACCTTGTTATAAACACAAGCTAAAGATTCATTGAATGAAATCAATGTGGATGGAACGTTTGCTCTGAGGGAAACACTGAACAGACTCATCAAATAGATTTCTTACGATGACATCAGACGACACAGTAGAGACACCAGGTTGTGAATCCTAATTGCTGAGTGCTGCCTTGAGGACCATCTTAGCTTCCTGTGTGCCCATCTCTAGTCCCGCTTCCCCCTCCGGGCTTCCTTTCCCCATTCATTAAACAGAGATGAACACATTGTTTCCTAGAGGAATTCTAACTTCTCAGTTAGTGGTCGTTAGGCGCTGATATAAAATGAACGCAGGCTGTCCAAGGGGTGTACGTCTCCCCCAAGAATCCCGGAGGGGTCTCTAGGGGCTTCAGCTTCCAGTGCTCATTTGAAAGGCCTTTTCACATTTACACACAATGCTCTGAATTTCTGCCAATCAGCACGCTCTGAGAAAGCCCTACTCTCCGAGGTGTACTAATTACAGACGCTACTTGCTAAATCAAGCTACTGTATCCACACAGTTTAGTTCAAGTCAATTCATGATATTGCTCCATTATGATAATGTCTGGAGAAAAAAAGACTCCCGGCTTCAGATGAATTTCCTTTCCTGTTTAAATCACAGTTAATTTTTCTCTGTGCGCCTATATCGCCTACCCTGGGACAGCAGCCCTTATGCCGGATAGTATTCCCTGGTTAAAATCCTAGACAGCTGGAGGCGTGCCAGAAATGGAAATAGAGGCACGGAATGAAGGTGGAGGGGTCCGAGAGAATTTACTCGGTGGTAGAGGGGAAGTGTGTGTGCGCATGCGCCTGAGAGAGAGAGAGAGAGAGAGAGAGAGAGAGAGATGGCTAGGATGGGGAGTGGGGCGTGGGGGCAGGAGGTATAGAGATCCGCAGAGGAGAGATAGCCATATTTTTTTCTGCCATGATCAGATGTCTGCGTGGGGCTTGGCACATACACTACAGGGCCACGGTGACCGTCTCTTGCCCTGCTCTCTCTGGGCCCTGGGTCCCCATGTAGGCAGACGCCTTTACACCAGCTCTACTCGGCATCCTTCAGCAAGCAGAAACTGCAGGATGCCCCCACCAAGAAGCCCACCCTTCCCTTTGGAGACCTGCCGCCCGGGTTCCAGCATCTGCACACCCAGCTCCAGTACGAGTGCATCTCACCTTTCTACCGCCGCCTGGGCAGCAGCCGCAGGACGTGCCTGAGGACCGGGAAGTGGAGCGGGCGAGCCCCATCCTGTGTCCCCAGTGAGTAAGGGCTCCTCCTGGGACAGGGGCTGGGGTGGCATCTGTCCTAAGCTTCTTCGGCCAGTGGGCCTCCAGCTAATTCCGTAGCTTGGTTATGTCTGATAGTCCGCAGCTGGAGCTTCCTTCCCTTGACACAAACTTCTAACTCAGGAGAAACGGACTCTTTAGGTCTTCGATGAATTTTTTTGGAGGGGCCATACCTCCTTGTAGATTGTTATTTTTTATTTATTTTTTAAAAGATTTTATGTATTTATTTGAGAGCGAGAGAGCAAGAGCCCCCATGCAGGGGAGTGGCAGAGAGAGAGAACCATAATGAAGCCCCAAGTGGGGGAAGGGTTAACGATATCAGAAGACTTCTACTTAGGTGGTCTTGGATACCCTGTCTGAGCCCGTTTTCGTGCTTATCATCCCATGGTATTCAATAGGCAGTTATTGATTAGGCGATGAGGTGTTAAGTACCCATATGATTATGGTGATAATGAGTAAAATAGTATGTGGAGGACTCTGGAAAAGGGTCTTGCACATACCAAGTTCTACCTTCCCCACCCGCTTTGTCAAAGGACAGCAGTATGGCTTAATTCTTTGTGGTCAAGTTTATCATGATAGGCATAATATTTTGAGTCTGTTTGCATAGATCTTCATCCAGTCTCCTCAAAAACCCTATGAGACAGATGTGATTATTAGACCCATTTTTCAGGCAAGAAGACTGAGGCTTTAAGAGCTCTGGCAATTTGCCCAAAGTCCTATTGATAGAAAGAGCCTAGGATCCCAAGCCTTCATCTTAACCCCAGACTTTATAGCCAACCATGTCAAGGTGGCTGATTACTACATAGTGGTCTTGACACCCATGGTCCCACCTTTCCAAATCTGTGTTCTCTTGGTTGGGCAACACATTCCCCTTTGCATGGAAAGGTCTGAGTTTATCTTACTGAGCTGGTGTTTCTCCACAGTCTGTGGGAAAACAGAGAACGTCACTGTTTCCAAGAGCCCGGGACTGCGCTGGCCATGGCAGGCGGCCATCTACAGGAGGGCCAGCGGGGTACACGGTGGCAGCCTGCACAAGGACACATGGTTCCTGGTCTGCAGCGGCGCGCTGGTGAATGAGCGCACTGTGGTGGTGGCTGCCCACTGCGTAACTGACCTGGGGAAGGTCACTATGATCAAGACAGCAGACCTCAAAGTTGTCCTGGGGAAATTCTACCGGGATGATGACCGAGATGAGAAGACCATCCAGAACTTACGGGTAAGAGAGGGCTATAACCTGGAAACCAGGTGTTGGCTCAGCAAACTCTGGGGGGCGGGGGGTGGGGTGTCAGTGGCGGTGGGGGCGGTGGACAGTGGCTGCGTCCGTCCTGACGCCTTGGCACATTAGCACCCAGCCCAGAGCCTGGCAGGGAGCAGGCGCCCAGTATTTCACATACATACTAGAAAGGCACATCTAGAAAGACTACGGAGTCTTTTTTTCCTTTTGTTTTCAAAATAAGATTATAACAATATCATCTATCACTGTGGTCATCAGAAGTTAATCTCCTATTATGTTTAGGGCATTGTACAAGATAGGCTTCGAGGACTTAGAAAGGTTTTATCCAAGATACTCCTAATCGATCTTTAATATTCCTCTGTCTTCTCTGCCTATCTCCCTCCCCCTCTCTCTTCCGTCCACTTACCCACCCTCCTTTCTCTCTGTCCACCCATCTGTCCATCTCTCTGCTCATTGTTGAGCTCTCACAGAATGCCATTCACAGGAATGGATACAAAACTGAGTAAGGCATGGAAAAAGGCACTGTCTTTGCCCTGAAGAGTCCACAGGCCAGTGAAGAGACCAGCATAGTGTGATTAGTTTGACACAAGAGGAAGCCCTGAGGAAATGTACCCAAATATACTTGAAGTACTAGAACCTGCGCGTAAAAATGTTAGACTGTATCACACATGTGAGCTCCTAGAGGCCCCCATCAAAGACAATGATCAGCAAGGGTTGGGACAATCAGCAAAGCCTGTGGAAAAGTCTTGTGGAACATTCTGGGTGTGGCTTTGTTTACCCGGAGCCAGAGGTTGCAACCTGGTAGTCTTTTAGGGGTTTGTGTTTGCATAATGCTAGCACACATTTTTTTTTTAACCAGTTATTTGCCAACATTTAAAAATCAGGAGGTTCAGATGAAGATCTGGAATCTCTTTTTTGAGAAAGTCAGAAAGTCAGCCCCCTCTTGGCCTGGCAGTGGCCAGCGGAGCCCAGTGGCCACTACCCACTTCGGATGGGGTAGGCACCCCTGTTCTCGGCAGCCCCATCTGCCACCCCACTCAGTTAACACCACCTGCCAGGCGGCAGTGGGCATTTCACTCCACAACCCCCCAAATAAAGCCGTTGTTTTCGATGATCCCTGAAGCAAAGTCTCTCCAAATCTTTGTAGCTGTCCCCAAGACACTTTGCCCCGGTAATTTAGCCCCGGGGCTTGCCTCTGACTCCCTGTGTGGTGGGGTGCTCACCTCTGCCGACCATCTCTTGCATTTGTAGATTTCCGCAGTCATCCTGCATCCCAACTACGACCCCATCCTGCTGGACACGGACATCGCCATCCTGAAGCTCCTGGACAAGGCTCGCGTCAGCACCCGCGTCCAGCCCATCTGCCTGGCGGCCCCGCGGGACCTGAGCGCCTCCTTCCAGGAGACCCGCATCACCGTGGCCGGCTGGAACGTGCTGGCAGACGCAAGAAGCCCCGGCTTCAAGAACGACACGCTGCGCTCAGGGGGGGTCAGGGTCGTGGACCCGCTGTTGTGTGAGGAGCAGCACGAAGAACACGGCATCCCCGTGAGCATCACGGACAACATGTTCTGTGCCACCCGGGATCCCGCCGCCCCCTCTGATATCTGCACAGCAGAGACGGGAGGCATCGCTGCTGTGGCCTTCCCCGGACGGGCGTCTCTCGAGCCACGCTGGCATCTGGTGGGGCTGGTCAGCTGGAGCTATGACAGGGACTGCGGCCACAGCCTGTACACGGCCTTCAGCAAGGTCCTGCCTTTTAAAGACTGGATCGAGAGAAACATGAAGTGAGCCTCGGGCCCGTGGAGACGCTGTTTGGGCGTCCGTCCCATCCAGACGTGTGTGGCACGAGGCAGTGTAGGCCTGAAGCTTGACTCTGCCCGTGAACTTGGCTGGGCCAGGGCTTCTGACTTCAGGATTGAAACTCAGTGGAGAGGGAGCAGAGCTCACCTTCTGGGAGGCCACTGTGACCTTGGCTGCTGAGACCATTCAGAAGATAGCAGGGCTGCTAGCAAGAACTGAGTTCCCTCCAAAGAGACTATGCAAATAGCAAAGCAGTGGTCCCCCTTCCACCAGCTCCGTGACCTTGCCCGCCTTCCCTCCCGTGGTGTCGATGTCATGGCCAGCTCTGGTCAAGAGGCGTGGCCAAGAAGTCTGAGATTCATGAGGTCTCTTCCAAGACTCTAGCCTGACCACATTCCAAGGAGCCGCCTGTGGGACCACCCAGGACACCAGAGCTCGGATGCGGCCTTGGCTTCTGTGTACATTGCTGCAGTAAAGCGTGGTCCTTCTCTTTGTCAATCCCCTGTATATATTTTAATAAAATGAGGGTTGGCTTCTGACCTACAGAACAAATGGGCTGTTCTGATTCGTACATGCTGCTTCTCAGGGCAGTGGCTTGGTGACAGCCCTTTAGAATAGATCAAGTTGTCGTTTCCAAACAGGCATATGGCAAAACTGATGCTGTCTTTTCAATACCAGCCCCTGATTGTGCTGGGTTATGGGCTGGAGGAGGAGCGACAAGGGAGGCCATCCGATAAGGCACAAACAGAGGAAAATACCCAAGGATTAGAGGATTGCCAGTGTCCCCTCTGGTTCTCATGTTCTCAATCTAACACACAACTCAGCTTTGAACCTCTGTCAATCTTGATGACATGTTTTCACGGCATCTGAATCGTCACCACCTCCTTACTCACACTAGATTGAGATATGCCAAGGAATGGAAGCTTCCCGGGTTTCTGTAACTGATGGGATTTTCCTTTCAAGCCCCATCTGGCTCCCCCTGGATAGTGGAGGGAAAAAAATGAATTCAATCCAGACCCCGAAGTGATCTGTTCAGGAACATTCACTTTGGGGGTCAGGGGGGCAGGGGGGAGACTCACTTTTTTATCCTTTCTTCTCTGCTCTCTTGGCCAGTCTCCTGCCCCCCAGATGGTGCTGCGGAGGCTGGGGGACTTCAAGCACAGGAACACAATAGGATTCCCGAGGGCCTGCTGGCTTCTTGGGCGTGTGTGGTGGGTCTTTCCGATTCCTGGCCATTCTGCTGACACTGACCTCGGGCACTGTGGCTGCAACCACTGACATTTGCACTGTGTTCTCTCCGCTTCCCTGGAGCCCAGCAGTCCTCCCTCTGGTGTGGCTCCTCCTCACCCCTGGCTGACACTGGCACTCCTGAGAAGTGGGGGTGACACCCTTTGACCCTGGTTTGTGTCTCACTGCCCCAGGGAGAGCCTTCTCCGGCAGCCACCCAGCCAGATTCTTGGTGACCTCCCTCTCCTCCCTCTGGGGCTTCGCGGGAACAACTCGGTCTTATCTGCCCTTCATGAGGGCTGAGAGCCCAGGGCTGGGACAGGGAACCTTGGAAGACATTCACCTCCTATACGCCTAAGCAGGAACACTACTCCTTCTCAACATATTAGAGAACATTTTGACCTCTGGTCTTTAACCCCAACACAGGAGGTTAGGACACATTTGTCTTCCAACCTGCTTTGCCATCTCTGTGTCTTTACTTAGTCCCCACAGGCAGGAGACAGTTTCTGGTACTTTATGTTTCTGTCAGGCTTTCTTGGGGCTTTCCATAGTCTGTACCCACCTCCTGTCTCATGGCTTAATCTTAGAGCAATGTACTAGTTACTGACTTCTGAGTAACAAACACCTAATGCTCGTGGGTTAGAACAGGCAGTATTTATTTTCTCCCAGATTCAGTGGACCAGGAATTAGGGAGCTGAGGTTGGCATGGGGTTTTAGTCATCTGAGGCCTTAACTGGGGCTGGAGTATTGGGTTCAACAAATACTGGGTTTGACTAGATTGCTCAAAGGTTTTTTCCTTCTTTTCTCTAAGCCTAGAAAACTTGAATCTTGAGAGGCATAGCAGAAGTTGGAGCAAAAAGAACTGAATTAAGATTTTTTTTTCTTTTTAAAGATTTTATTTATTTATTTTGAGAGAGAGAGAGAGCGCACAAGCAGGGGGATGGGCAGAGGCAGAGGGAGAAGCAGACTCCCTGCTGAGCTGGGAGCCCTATGCAGGACTCGATCCCGGGAACCTCAGATGATGATCTGAGCCAAAGGCAGATGCTTAACCCACTGAGCCACCCAGGCGCTCCTAAGTTTCTGCTTTTCAATTCCTTTTCTGAATGACCTTGGGTGAGTGACCTAACATCACTACCTGATTTTCACCAACTGTTAGGCCGACATAATAAAACCTGTTTTTTTGTGATAACTGGGATGATCCAGTGAGGTGTCACGTAAAGCGCTGAGCAGGGCATGTGGCTTAGAGCTGGTGTCTATGATTCCTGATCCCCCACCTGGACCATCAATTCCCAACCATATACAGCTGTGGGCAGTGGTGAGCAAGTCTTTGGGAGGCTGTTGCCTTTGCATGTGGTGTTGAAGCTAAGTTAATAGGGCCAGAAAGCTGGATGGGAAGTTGACAAAGCAAGGACAAGCTGAGACCATGTGTTCCCTTGCTGTCCCCCATCTCAATGACCTTCAGGAGAAGCTGGCACCCCTTGCATGTAGCTGTACACACACCTGCTTCAGGACACTTGGAGAAGATGGAAGAGGATTTCTAGCACGTGCTAGAGGAGCTGCCGGCCTGGGTGCTGTCCCTCCCCAGCAAGGCATGCTGGGGGATCAGTGACAATGTATACGAACTGTCCCAGTTACTCGTATGCTACCACCTTTCAGAGTGTGGAGGTAGCTGCTCCACTCCCCTCTTCAAATATCACGTAAGTTTCTCTGGTTCCAGCCCTCCCAGCAATCACACAAGGAAGGGAATTCTGCATAGTTCCAGCTTCCTCTAAGTTGACCTAGAACAAAAGCCATCGCCAGTCGTGGAATATGCCTGCTAGGCAAATGTTTGTCAACTCAGAATGCATCTGCAGGGAGCCTGAAAGGACTCCTGCTTCATCCAGAATAGTTTGGTTCTAATTCCTTTTACAGTTGTTCTATTGTCTTTTATGCACATGCAGCCTCCAACATGGAATGTTCTATTGGCGAGGCCTTGAGGAGCTGGCCTGGTACTTGCAGCTAGGCTGTGGCGCTTTTCTGTTGAAGGTCACTAATTTCACAAAACGCCAATAGCCATCAAGATCATCTGTGATTGTGATGATCAAGACACCAGCAAGACCACATCATCTTGTCTACGGACAGACAAAAGGAAGGTCACCATACAAACCCCTGGAATACCAAGTATTCCCTCCAGTTAATACGTATGACCACTGCTTCTGCCAATTACAGTTTTAGCCTTCAGCTGGTCTTCCTTCCTTTTGGATAAGGTTTATTGCGGTAGCCGTTCCAGAATTGTGTCCGCTTACTGATAGGACCCAATTGAGAACAAAACCCTACTTCCTTGAAACATTCCCCAAATCACCTAAGAGAAGCTCAAATCCTACACATTCCTTCTGACACTATTCTGGTGATACACCCCAGAGTTCCCCGTGATATATACATTCTCTTGTATGTCAAAGAGCAGTTAAGTCTGACTTGCTTAACTGTTGGTGTGCTTCTGGCGGTCTTTGGATGGAGATCATTGGAAAAAAAAAGTATATACTCACATATATACTTCTACGTATAAAAGAAGGAGTCTTGCCTAAATCCTATAGATCTTAAATTTTGTATATCATATGATGACATTTATATGATATATAAAATGTAAGTAAAGTCTGTATGACTTGGGCAAGACTCTTACCTTCCTTAGGAGCGGCCAGGCTTACACATCAAGTGAACTGACTGGTCGGCTCACACTATATCCTCTCACATAAACTCCCATGGGGACTGAGACCAAGGGGCAATCCATGCTGGCTAGCATTTCCAGTTACCCTGTCATTCACAGGGTTCTCAGCCCCTCAGCTGAGTCTTTGGAGTGGTGGATGGGAAGGAAGTAGGATGTTCTAAGTACAGAAAGAACTTGGCAAGTACATAAGTTTAACCATGGAGAAGGATGGCCTGGAGAAGGGCCAATTATTTCCCAACACGAGCCCTTTATTACAAAGAAGGGTGAGGTTGGCCAGCCAAGGTAAGGGCAGTCAAGGTGAAGTCCATTGGTGGTGGATCTCAAATGCTAGTGTTTAATAATTGGGCTTCTTATTGCCCATTGGCAAATATCAAGCTCACGGTCATATCTCCAGGAGGGAAAGGGTAGAAGTGGAATCCTAGAAAGTCCCATCCGGCTGGATGTATGGACAGAGGCAGTGGTTAGAAGACGCAGGCTGAGGTCTAATTCCAGTTCTGACAAGTTGCACGCTATGACCTTGAGCATGATGCTCCATCTGTCTCCTGCAGTCGCCTCATCTGTAAAGGGGAGTGACAAGATATGAGGATGATGTATCCGTGCATTCAGCATGTAAGATAGTGTCCGACCCATTGCACTCTGTCAACGTTGGCCGATGTTATGGTCGTCGTTTTGTTGTTCTTCGCGAGCAGGAGATTGGAGATCTAGGAACCCATCCGGAAAAAATGTACAAGGGTCCGAGAGGAGAAGAGAAGTCTTAGAATCCCAGCATGTGGAAATAAGTTTGATAATCTTCGGAGTGGGGTTGATCGCAGGAAAGGGTGGGCAAAAATAAACGGGGCCGTGGGTTAGAAGAACCGAAAAGGTTGAGAACAAGGGTGGATGGGATTGTGTAAGTGGGATGTATCTGGATACATTTCTGAGACAAAATGCTGGAGCTTATGGTGTTTTTTTTTTTGTTTTTTTTTTTTTTTGTTTTTTTTAATTTTCCCATCTGCATGTGTGTATGTGTGTGTGTTGGGACAGAGTGGGACAGAGGGGCTGGATTTATTAAAAGGGACCGGGCTCCACTGGATGGGTAGGAATCTTTACGGTTCTTTGGGATTTCAGAATTTTCACGTTGTCAAATTCATCACCTACTCAACTTAATGGGCCTTCCACATTTACATCCTATATCAGAATTTTAGTCGATAAAATCTCTTCCAACCTGAATTCAATAAAAAATTCAATAAAAAATAAAAAAGTTCATTGATTTTCCACCTGCCTGTTATTCGTTCAAATGCAAAAACTAGTAGAGTGCTTACTATGTGTGAAGGACTGAGATGCTAAAGGCAGACAAAACAGGCTCAGTGTTTGCCCTCAGTCGTGTGACTCCAGAAATGAGAAATCATGGAAAGGACTAGAAAGGAGAATAGGGGGTGCCGTAAGACCATATGGCAAGGGGATGCTGA